TTCGATATCCTCGCCTCTTCTCTTCTAGATTTTACATCTTTCTGGCTCCTGCTTCGGGAAGCTCCACCACGCTGTCTTTTAGCTGGAGGCTTTAGGGAAGAGAGAGGTCTGTGACAACTGGTTTGACACATAGCCTTCCTAGGAGGGCACAGAACTCGAGGCTGGCAGAGAGACCCATGCTGGCAAGGCCTTCTCCCCTGAAGATAGATATAGGAAGATCCTCTGAACAGGTGTAACTTCCATGGATACAAAGGCATCCTCAAGTGTGCATGAGCTTCCTGTCTGTCACTAGAGATAGGAAGAGAGCTCTGGGCTCTCAGGGGCAGAGAGTAAGAGAATACGGGGGCCTGGCTGCAAACTCCACACTGCTCAGGCTCCCTCTCCTCCCAGGAGAGCGCTTAGCTTTTGTCTTTGCAGCAGGAATGAGTCCGCTGCAGGAGAGACATTTAATTGTCCCATTTACCAGCTCCCGTGTACAAGATCGCATCGACAGGGATCACGGCCTCTTTGTAACGGAGCCACTGACAGCCGGATGAACATCACAGCACTGCTCCTCGCAGAAATGGCACTCGCTGCGTTGCCAGCTGAGGACATGCAGGCGACCAGCCTCCTGCACTGGGGCCCGCTGCAAGCTCCCTCTTGCTCTGCATTTTCTCTATTTATACAGCAGAAACGCTCACCCAGCAGACCTGGGCGTTTTGCAGTGCTGCCCAGTGTGCGCCTGGGGATGCAAGGAAAGAAACAAAGGGAAAATACAGGTTCAGCGCTTGCTCTGTGCTGCAGGCCACGAGAAACACCACAATCATAAAACATGGTCCCTCAACTCCCTCAAGGAGATTACAATGTACTTGAGTAAATTAAAAACGAAATAAGAAAGTATTTGGACTGCAGTTCAGTACACGCGTTGCAGAAGGCTGTGAGGCAGGAATGAATGACTGGAAAGCGATTGGAATGGGCTGCACTTGGCATTGAGAACTGCATTTTGTTCTCCTTTCCGGATGTGGGTCTGGTTTACCTGGTGGACTTATTCTAAAAAAGAGGAGCTGTTTGGGTGGAAGGCAGGGGAAAGTCTTTATATTCACATTCTGAAAGGAATCAAGGCAATGTGTCTTATACCCAGATGGAGCCCGTTACAGGCGCACAAACCTGGCTGTCTGTGGGACAACACCAAAAGGAAAATGCGCTGGGAGTGTGACAGAACATGGTGAAAAGACCTATTTTTGTGTCCCTACAGACTCCAAAGCGTGGGAAGCCGGTGGCACACGGTATTTTTGAGGGGATGGCCTCAGAGTTTTTTGAGAAGGCGAAGCCCTACTGTAATTCTTGAACAAGGAGGTGGTGGCATTGAGTGGACAATGAGATAATGTGATAGGGTCTCCCATGACCTTTGCAACTCTGTGGAAGCATGGAGAGCTGCTGGGAGGAAAGGACTTGAAATCAGGATAACACTTCCCATCCCTTTGCCTGCACCACTGAGTAACCAGCACCCTTCCTTATGAAGCCTTTATAAAGATGCACATTTCCTATTTTCTTCTTCCATAAATACATATGCGGTTTAAATCTTGATTACAGAAGTTATACAAGCGTATGTGGTTGTGGTACAATGGAAAACCCAAGGCTCATGGGCCATTTCATGCTACAAACTCAGAACTCAGAATTACATGCAATTGCACATACACTCATTCACATACTCCTTAGGCGCCAGAAACAAAGGGGACTCGGATGTTCCCATGGCACTTTTCGGCTGAGGGGCGGCAGTTAAAGGGAGACGGGCTTTGACAGCCACTTGGGGCCCTGGGACATGCAAGGGAGCAGAAAATGATATCACTGCATACGTGTGAGACCTCCAGGGAGTCAACGCATCTGTGAAAAGGAGATTAGAAAAAAACTGTCCATCAAAGCAAAACAAGTACAGGAAGGCTTGCCATCTGTTTGAAGCTCTGAGAAATTAACACCAAAATGAGTATGGAGGTCTAAATGTATACTATTTAAATGGTGTGGTAATTACAGTAAAAAAAAATCATACTAATGCTGGTGCATTGAAAGTCCCTGGACTGTGATGGAAGCAAACCCAGAACCCAATGGCAGGAGTGCATCTGTAGCTCAGGAGCCCTCTGGGCATAGGGGGAGAACAAGTCTGCAGAAGATGAGCTCACAATCAAAAGTGACTAATGTCACAGGGAAGTAATCCACCATGAGACGCAGCACACCCAACAAATAAGACGGGAACCTTAAGAACCAAGGGAGTGAGGAGGAGGCAGGGCAGAGAATAACCCAAAGGCTGTAAGGTTGAAATTATGAAATATAAAAGTTTTAAAAATAACAGAGGAGTAGGACATTATGATCAAAAGAACTGGCAGAATTTTTTTTTAAAAAGCCAGATGAATGTCACAATTAAAATAGATGAAAATTAATACATAAAGCTAAATATTACTAATGAAGGAATAAATGAACTGGAAAATGTGCAAATCATCTAACACCAGGACAGAGAGATAAAGGGATGGGAACTACCCAAACAAAGTTAATAACCTGGAGGATATGATAAGAAGGTCCAGAAGAGCTTAAACAAAATTGTCAACATGGAAAAAAGACAGGATTATTGTGTGTCATTAGAGAACTGTGTTACCTCTCACCGCACACCTTATTAGAATGGCTAACATCCAAAGCGCTGAGAACATTAATCTGCACGAGTGAGGATGTGGAGCAACTCCATTCCCTGCTGGTGGGAACACACGATGCCACGGCTGCTTCGGAAGGCAGTTTGGTCGTTTCCTACAAAGCTAAACATGCTAGCAGCCTCACCATACAATCTAGCGATATGCTCCTAGGCATTTACCCAAATGCGCTGAAAACTTGTATCCATAGACAAAACCTGCACATGACTGCTTATAGCAGCTGTATTCATAACTGGCTAATCCAGGGAACATCCAAGATGTCCATCAGCAGTTGAATGGACAAACAGACTATAGATCTATGTGATGGAATATTCGGCAATAAAAAGAAGCAAGCTATCAAATTATTGAAAACACACAAAAGAACCTAAGTACATGCTGTTCAGTGAAAGAAGCTTGTCTGAAAAAAAGCTGCATACTCTTTGGTTCCAACCATATGATGTTCTGGGAAAGGCAAAACTAGAGAGACCATTAACAGACTAGTGATCGCCCGAGGTTGGGATGGAGGAAGGGAGAGATGAATAGTTGGAGCACAGGGGATTTTTAGGGCAGTGAAAATACACTATGGTACTGCAATGGTGGATGCTTAGCATTTGGAGCTCGGCAGCACCCACAGACCTACAAAGCAAAGAATGAACCGCAATGTAAATTATGGACTTTAGTTAATAATAATGTATCAAGATTTATTCATAAATTGTAAAAAAAAAAAAAAAATTAAAAAAAATTGCCACTTCCAGTGTCAGAAGTTAATGGGGGAAAGTGCGAGGAATGGGGGCTAGGAGTATGTGGAAACTGTACTTTCTACTCTAAAAATGAAAGTCCATTAATTTTTTTTTAAAGATAGGATGGCGAGAGTTAATATGCAAAGCAGCAATGAGTGCGATTTTTCCAGAATTGAAGTTACGCTTCACCAGGTTGAAAAGCAGAGCAAATAAAACAAACCCACACCCAGATTCCACACCACAAAGTGAAATTCACAAAAGCAAGTAGAGAGAAAATAGAAATTACATAGCAACTAATTATGAGCTGACTTCTAATAACAGCTGCCGTCTAGATCGGAAGAAAACTCATAACATCTTCAAAAGGTCAAGAAACAATAACTGCCGACTTAGCTTTCTGTGTCCCATCGAATCACTCAATAGCTAGAACAAACCTCCAGCGGTACACACTGATTCCCCGAAACATAAAAAGGGAGCAGTAGAGCAATATGAAAACAGTCATTTTATTAAGTTCTTCAAGAGGGAGCCAATAATCAGGTGGACTGTTTCCTTTGTTTTGCTCTGCACATCTCTTGTATCTTAGAGATCACACACACACACACACACACACACACACACACACACACACACACACTTCTAGCTTCCATTTAGCATTATATGCAACCTCCTTGATTTTCACTGCGCTTGGAAGGTAGTGTGTAAAGGCTGAATCCTAGTCTAAGTGCCATAGTTGAATGAATTGCTACAGTTAGTGTGATTGCTAGGCATTCAGATCAGAAAATTTCCTCCTAAGTGGCAACTGGATAAAAAGCACGTAAAAGGGAGACAAAATAGTGCTAAGCATGCCTATTACCTTATTTCCTTTGAAAACCCTACTTGCTTCTTTAATTGCTTACTGGAGCCGGAGGTGTTTAATTTGCATGGGGCCATTCAGAGCTTCCTTTCAATCAATGCTTTGAGGCCTAATGCATTGCTTGTGGGTGACCTTTTGGGATAATCCTGGATGTCCTTTTAAAGGAAGAGGGAAGAAAAAAACTAATACATTTGAGGACAATGGTATGTCAGGCACTGAGCTGGGCATTTTCTTTACAACAGTACCTCGAAGGCTGGATTCCTGTGATTCAGGCACTACATTTTGTAACTTCATGTATGTGAGTTCATTTGATCCTCACCACAAACCTGGGAAATATACCCATTTCACAGGCAAGATAACTGTAGCTCCAAAGTCACAGCTAGTTATGACTGGACTACAGGTCTTTCCACTATAGCTGGCTGCCGTTAGCCTGCTCCAGGATTGGGTATGTTTGGGGATAAGATAGAAAAAAATAGAATGGGCAGAACATAATGATAATGACATAAACAAACAAACAAAAAAGGGGACTGTGCCAAACTATACATTATCTCATTTCACCTTCCTACAACAGACAGTAAGTAGGTATTGTTATCATTACCTTCACTCAACAAGTGAGTGATGCAGCCAGGAAAGCTCAGTAATTTGCCTCCAGGTCACACAGCCACAGGTCGTGCATGTGTATCCCATACCCAAAGATGCTTGCCCCAGAGTGCATGCCCCCCTTCTCACTGCCTGTGGGCTGTGTCTTCTGTGCAGGTGAGATGGAGGAGCTGGAGACGCTGTGGCTCACAGGGATCTGCCACCACGAGAAGAACGAGGTGATGAGCAGTCAGCTGGACATCGACAACATGGCAGGTGTGTTCTACATGTTGGCGGCCGCCATGGCCCTCAGCCTCATCACCTTCATCTGGGAGCATCTCTTCTACTGGAAGCTGCGCTTCTGTTTCACGGGTATCTGCTCGGACCGGCCGGGGCTGCTCTTCTCCATCAGCAGGGTGAGTACCCCTAGCGGCCACTTTCTTTTGCAGTAGCAGGTCCAGGGAGGCATCGGGAGTCCAGAGAATCAGGAGGTCTTGAATTCTTGCAGGAGGGGGTCTGAACCTTGTGTGTTTATAAGCCGCGATTCGCAAACCCAGATGGTTATAGAAGCCAGAAAGGCAGGGTGAATGGGTGAAGCAGACTGGGCACAAGAAAGGCAGCACCAATGATGTGAAAAATAGCTTCTGAACTTGAGTTTCTGAGTGAGGGGACAATGGAGGAACCCAGGACCTGTGACAACTCCATAATCGTCTCCATGCCGGGAGGGGGCAGTCCTCCTCAGTAGAGAATGGGAATGCAGAGCTAATATCATCAGGTCTTCTATTTGTAAATGAGAAAGTAGTGGTCTGGTTTTGTATGAAACCTTTCTCTTTTAAATATTAGTAACCAATTTCATTTAAAAACACACAAAAAACATCATGTGGGCCAAACAAAGCTGTCTATGGCCTCAATGCTATACCACACTAGCAACATCCCTATGCAGGATGTGATAGTGTGTGCATGCGTTCCAACAGGACGTGCAGGACAAAACATAATCTGCTCACACAGCCACACTTTGTGCACACACCCCAACAAAATATGGGAAAGCATGTGCTGGGCAGTAGTGTCTGCAATGAAACCAGACGTGAAGACCCATGAGAAAATGCACACACATCAAACAAGATAAAATACACATTCAACCCAACAGACACTACAGCACAGAGTAAACAGGCTATGGGAGTTCGCATGCAATTCAAGAAAATCTCCTTTTATTCTGCATAACATGGTATGTGTATGTTAGAAAGCCTTAGAAAGCACATGTGTAATTCACCAGTAATGATAAGAATCATGGAAAATGCTTATATTTATGGAGCACATATATGTTCCAGGCATCTTATAAGAACTTTATACCCTCTACCTCATGAAACCTACAAACCAACTCTATGAGGTACGTACTGTAATTAGCTCCAGATTACAGATGGGGAAACTCAGAGTTATGAGTTTAGGGGATTTACTGAAGGACACACAGTTGTGGTGGAGTTATGGTTTGAATCTAAATAGTGTACCATCCAGAGCTTGCACTCTTATACAAGCAACAGATACCAAACACAGGTGACACAAGAGATTTGGTACGAATCATACTATACAATATACTAGTAATGTGTTTGTATATTCAACATAATCTAATAATTTACTTGCATCATAATAAAAGCACATACATACATATTGTTTACTCATCCTCTAACATAGTATAACATTATTTGTTTACTAGAGGCCCGATGCATGAAATTTGTGCAAGGGGCTCAGCCCTTGCAGGCCCCCCTCCCCCTGCTTCGTCTGGAAGGTCCTTTGGCTATCCAGTCTAATTAGCATATTACATTTTTATTATTATAGATTTGGTATCAATCATCTATCTGTTCATCTATTTCTCCATCTATCCATCCATCCATCCATTCATCCATCTATTCATTCATTCATTCATTCATTCATTCATTCATGTCTGTTCATCCATTCATCCATCCACCTATCCATCCATCCATTCAATCTATTTATCTCCCTATTTCTTCCATTTACTCTCCTTGGAAATTTTTTCACTCTGAAAGAATTTAATGACTTTGGATTTGAAACATGGTGAAAAATATTTCTTAAAAACATCTAATTTTGTATGCTAAGCTTATCAAGGAAACAAAATAATTGTTTAAAAATGAATTTTTGTATCCTTAGCATTTAGTGATTTAAAAAACTTTGGAGACTCAGAAGGTACACATTAGCTTAGTGAGAAGGATTTCAATGGCACAGTAAACTTGAGTTTGGTGCAAATACATATTTCTTAATTAGCTTGATGGCATCTAAACACACAGATTGCTTAAAAATAACAGCGTGCATGCATATAGCTAGGTGTGCCAACCTTAAGCTAATTCTCTCTGTCAGTTACTAAAGACTTTCCATATCCAAAGATTCTGGGATTATTATGAGCAAAATGCACACTGTTGCATTTACTTATAAATACTGCTTGTGTTTGGAAGAGCATTTCCTCTGTCTGAGATACCATTAAGAAGCCAAGTTGATAGGATCATTATTGTAAGAAATGAACTAAATCTCCCACTCCTGTTCCGAGCATCTTGAAGAATTGGAGTGTCGGGGAGGAGACAGAGCCCACAGGAGCAGCTGTTGTTGTGTTGTGCCTTTGTGGGCTGGCAGAGCTGGAATTTGAACATCAGCCTCCCTTCCCTAAGCCAGAGTGCTTCCCGTGGGAGCACTGAAGGCACTTGTGTGCCCCCTTGAAACTCCCAGCCATCCTCACTCGTACCCTCAAAGGTTGCAGGGAGCCCCTGCTTGAGCAACTACCCCTCCCTCCTTCTCCCAGACAAGATTTGTCTTTTAAAATAAGCACAGCTTGATACGTATGAATAGAAAGATCTCCTCCTTAATGTGATTTTCTCATTCCCAGTTTACCTAATAAACCTCTCCCTCGTTTATTAGGGGAACTCAGAATGGGCTTAGCCTTCGATGCTGTGCCTAGAAGTGCTTCTGAGTTGCTAAAAGTGTTCTTCCTTTTCTGGCCAAGGGCCAGCATGCATTTTTTATGCTGGTCTTATGTGCCTATGCACACACATGCTACCTTACATATATATTTACATACAGTGCAAAACACACACACACACACACACACACACACACACACCCCAAAGCAAAATGTTTACACTGTGCACACACCATTATTTTCTGTTAAATAAAACCTGAAGTGGGGAATTCCAAAGCAAAGAGCCTACTTTCCTACAAATATAAGATCACAAGGACACAATGAATGATGCCTAGTGTGTAAATGAGAGCCTAGGCCATTGTCTCTAATCCTCAAAATATCATATGTGGTTGATTTGATCACACCCATCCTATGAATGAAGAAACGGAGTCCCAACATGTTAGAATGGAGCCCTCCTGTTCACTTAAGTTTCCTTGAAACAACAGAGGTCTTTTCACTTCATCTCTCAGGTCAGAAAAATAAGCATGAGAGAGGAACCTTTGCCTATGTGTTAGGGTTAGGTCTCCTGTTTCTGTCAGTGTCAGACACCTTTTAATCTGAAATTCACTTCTACCCCAAGGCAGGGTTTCTGCACACAAGCTAAGTCTCTCCATCACCATTTCTCTTTATAGCATATTGACCAGCCGGACAATAGACATCAAGTTATTGTGACACACAGACACACGCAGCCCTCTTTGTGGGCTTGTCCCTTGGGAAGCTCCTGGATAATTTGAACCAATACAAACCTGAGATCCGTGCATGTGTGGAGCTGCCCGGGGAGAAGGCCAAGCTCAAAGAAGCCGTTTATTTAACATTAGAACTGAGCTTCTCCCACAGCTGTGGCCTTTGTCTCCTACAACTTCCCCAACTGTGCTCTCTAGTCTGCAGGATGCCCTTAACCTTTATTTTCTCTCTGCAATGCTTCCCTCTCGTGTATAAAAAATATTTACTGTCACCAGCAAAAGGAACTGCCTTGGTTGTCTCCTGAGATGTAAGGAATGGGGGACACTACAAATCCAAGGACCAGGGAGAAGGAACCCAGACTTTTTTCTCCATGAGCTCAGATGGGGCAGCTGGAAACAGTGAAAAAAGCTGGCTCATCCACACCTGGGACCAATAGCCCACTGTGGGTTCAAGAGGGCACCTTATTTCCACAATCTATAAAATGCAGCCAGGATCTATGAATAACAGAGAGGAGAAAAGAGAGAACTCCACAGAAAGGAAAGAAACACCAGCCCAGGGATTTGGTTCCTGAGGAGGGGTTTGGCTGCTTGCCTAAGCAGGAGGCCACAGTGGCTTTGGAGAACAACCCTTTGGTAGCAAAGGGTAGCAGGCCTTGCTTTGGAGCTCTCACAAAATGGGCAGTGCATATTCATGCTGGTGTGAAAGGAGAGGTAGGGTGACACAGGAAGGGCAGATCAGGGGGAACAAAGCAGCTCAAACATTTATAATAAGGAGGAGATAGAGGCTCCTGGCAGGTGAACAGGAAGCCACACAGGACACGGAGAAGGAGACTAAAGACAAGGCTGCAGGAAGATGGGGAAAGGGCGAGATGCCAAGGCCACACAGCCCAAGGTTGAGTGTCAGAGAAAGAGATGCTCAAATTGTACGTAGGCTTTTCTGTTGACCTCTCTTAGAAGGCTAGCGTGGAAACTGTCTCCAGAAAATTACAAGAAAAATACAGCAAGCTCGAGGCTGTCACAGTTCCTTGAGCATCTCTGAGGGTTAAACTCATCCCCACCATGGGGAACTGATGGAGCTACTATTATCACAGTCCACAGTTAATCACATATACTTTTCACAAGTTCATGCCGAAGTCAGCAGCAGCTGCCACGTTCACTTTTACAAACCCCTCTCAGGCTGGCTCCTCATCAGTCTTGGGAGTACTAGGTCATATCCCGCAGGCTTGATCTGATTTTTCTTTTAAGGTATGACTGCCAAAACTTTGAAGCAGGAGTGGGGAAGAGGGACCTGCAAAACACAATGTCACCGGTGCTCTCTTGCCTACTAATGCACATGAATTGAATTCTTCCTTTGAGTTAGTATTAAGTAGAATTAAACAGCTACTTTTAAGAATGGAAGAAAGTGTAGTGGAAAACAAGAGACATATAGATGGACATGCCTATATTTGAGCTCCCCAGGAGGTTGTAAGTCACTCAGTCTCTACGTGATTTAAATGCAGCACACTGTGTCATCAAAGGAATCTCCACTGTCCCTTGCAGCTAAATCCCAACACTATGTTTAGCAAATTCACACAAAAACAAACACATGAAGACTATATCAAGTAAGGTAAGAGAAAAGTTTTAGAGAGTGGCCCCAAAGGTTTAACCTACATCATATCTCTCTATCCCCTGGGTTCTATTTTTCTCTGTGGTGGCTTCACTCTCAGGATAATGTTTCCACATGGTGGCAAGACTAGTCCCCTAAAAGTGCTACTTATATTCTAGCATCTATGTCTATTCCTAAAAGAAATTAAAAAAAAATCTGATTCATCACACATAGATGTCATGCCTAACCTGAATCAGAAAGGATTTTCTGACTGACCTACGTGGGTCTCATGACTTGACTGATAGCTTCAGTGGGTATGTGTATAGTGTATAAAAGTTGTCCTTTTATGCCAATTTAGTTTGGTTGTCAATAGCTGATTCACTGGTATCCAAATTCCAAAGATAATTCTGAGAAATTTTAATAAAAAAAAAACATGAGTTGGTGACCTGGCAGGGTTAATTAAATAGCCTTACATGTCAAATTTTGAGGCACTGAGATCCTCATAGTTATATGAACATTCATTGATACCTTTTCTCAAGCTTCATGTATGACTATTTGCAAAAAGTGTTTGGTAATCTTGAGCCAGAGAGAAAAGATAAGCCTGATAGTTTGCCCCTGGTCTCATCCATTTAGGAAACTGTATCAGGCTTTCTATTGGATTTTGCTGTTTCTCCAGGGCTCTTGTGAGAAGGCCATATCTGACCTTTGCAGATAGAGTTCAGGTGTGGAGTGGTTTCCTTTGCTTGCTGCTGCTGATGATGTGTTATGTCACTTCCCACAGGGCATTTACAGCTGCATTCATGGGGTGCACATTGAAGAAAAAAAGAAGTCTCCAGACTTCAACCTGACTGGCTCACAGAGCAACATGCTAAAATTCCTTCGGTCGGCCAAAAACATGTCCAACATGAACTCCTCAAGAATAGATTCTCCCAAAAGAGCTGCCGACCTTATCCAAAGAGGTTCCCTGATCATGGACATGGTTTCAGATAAGGGAAACTTGATATATTCAGACAACAGGACCTTTCAGGGGAAAGACAGCATTTTTGGGGACAACATGAATGAACTCCAAACATTTGTGGCCAACAGGCACAAGGACAACCTCAATAACTATGTGTTCCAGGGTCAGCACCCTTTGACCCTCAATGAATCTAACCCTAACACGGTGGAGGTGGCCGTGAGCACAGAATCTAAAGGTAACTCCAGGCCCCGCCAGCTTTGGAAGAAATCCATGGACTCTCTACGCCAAGATTCAATGACCCAGAACCCAGTCTCCCAGAGAGAGGAGGGAACATTGGAGAATAGGACCCACTCCCTAAAGAGTCCCAGATACCTTCCAGAAGAGGTGGCCCACTCAGACATTTCAGAAACTTCGAGTCGGGCCACGTGCCACAGGGAACCTGACAATAATAAGAGCCACAAGACCAAGGACAACTTCAAAAGGTCTCTGGCCTCCAAGTATCCCAAGGACTGCAGTGAGGTTGAGCGCTCATACTTGAAAACCAAATCGAGCTCCCCCAGGGACAAGATCTATACCATTGATGGTGAGAAGGAGCCCAGTTTCCATCTAGATCCTCCCCAGTTTGTTGAAAACATATCCCTTCCCGAAAACATGGACTTCCCAGATGCCTACCAGGACCACAGTGAGAACTTTCGCAAGGGGGACACTCTGCCCATGAACAGAAACCCTCTGCACAATGAAGATGGGCTTCCCAATAATGACCAGTATAAGCTCTACTCCAAGCACTTCACCTTGAAGGACAAGAGTTCCCCACTCAGCGAGGGCAGCGACCGCTACAGGCAGAACTCCACACACTGCAGGAGCTGCCTTTCCAACCTGCCCACCTATTCAGGCCATTTCACCATGAGGTCGCCCTTCAAGTGTGATGCCTGCCTACGGATGGGGAACCTCTACGACATTGATGAAGACCAGATGCTTCAGGAGACAGGGACTCCAGCCACCCAGGAGGAGGTCTACCAGCAGGACTGGGCACAGAACAACGCCCTCCAGTTCCAAAAGAACAAGCTGAGGATTAGCCGTCAGCATTCCTATGATAACATCCTCGACAAGCCTAGGGAGATAGACCTTAGCAGGCCCTCTCGGAGCATAAGCCTCAAGGACAGGGAACGGCTTCTGGAGGGAAATTTGTACGGGAGTCTTGTTAGTGTCCCTTCTAGCAAACTCTTGGGGAACAAAAGCTCCCTCTTCCCCCAGGGTCTGGAGGACAGCAAGCGGAGCAAGTCTCTCTTGCCAGACCACACCTCCAATAACCCTTTCCTCCACTCCTATGGGGATGACCAACGCTTAGTCATCGGGAGATGCCCCTCGGACTCCTTTAAACACTCGTTGCCATCCCAGACAATGAATGACAACTATCTTCGATCCTCCTTGAGGTCAACGGCATCGTACTGTTCCAGGGACAGTAGAGGCCACAGCGATGTGTATATTTCTGAGCATGTTATGCCTTATGCTGCAAATAAGAATAATACGTACTCTACCCCCAGGGTTTTGAATTCCTGCAGCAATAGACGTGTGTACAAGAAAATGCCTAGTATTGAATCTGATGTTTAAACCTTCCATTAATGTTTTAACTATAGGGAAACATACGTAATGGCCAACATTCTGGAGAGGAAATGTTGGATGTCCAATAGTGCTCTGCAAAGAAGAAGAGGATTTAGGAAGGTATTTTATTTTTGTTGGTTCTTTTGCACATGGCTCCATGCCATTGTCTTCCACTCAAGGAATCTTGTGAGGTGTGTGCTGAGAATGGCAGATACCAGATAGGTGAGTCCTTAACCAAAAATAATAAATCAAAGGGCAAGTCTTCTGGACATGCCCACTAGGTGTGTTGGCAATAATGATGCCTTGGATGCCAGTGGTGATGTTGTGATTTCCTATATTCCAAATTCCATTAAGCCTGTCCACCATGCAATTTTCTCATCATAAACACTTAACGGTTTCTCTAATACAGAATAAGCAATATGGTATGCATGTAAATCCGACACAGACCAAATAAAACAGTTAAGAATGCATCTGCACTGTAGCGAGATTGACATGTGCAAGGGATTAGGAAGTTTGGCTTTGTAACCATTTCAACTTTTTTGTCATGCCTTCCATCACAGTCCAGGCCCAACCCCCAGAACTCCAGGCTCCCCCAAAGAATAGCAAATCAGTGTGTTTTGTGCTAACTATGCTACCTTCATTATAGTCCATTTCCAAGACACATCTGGAGTAAAAGGCCAGAAGGGCTCTCAGGCAGAGAGCTATAAGATTCCTGGATGTCCATTTGTGTGTTTCACAGACGAGCTCTCATCCTTGGCTTCACTGGTCTTGTTCAGGACTGCATAAATTAAGACGTTTGTGTCTTCGATATCTAAGTGTGGATCTTCTGTCTATGACACAGTGGCCCTTATAGTTTATTCCGAAGACTCCTGTGTATGTAAGTTTGCATTTCCCCCCTTCTGGTGATGACTCAGGGCTGTATAGTATCTGTTTTCCCTTTCCTTCCAGAGTAACCATAGCTCATTCAGTCCCCAAACAGCCATGGTGGCTCTGATCAACTGTGTGTTGCTGTTTCCAGGGTTGTTAATGTGGTGGCAGGCACCAACAGCCATATGTGTGCTGTGATCTGTAAGAAGTACAATGCCATCTGTCTGCAGAAGGCTGATGTGGTTTTAGGTTTATGTTTCTTACTGTCATGGAATTCAGTTGGACACTCATTTCCACCCCAACCTCCTCAAAGCAAAAGCCTTCAAAACATGTTGAGAGACACTCATGCATCTATCCTGAGCATCCTCCAAATTGTGGGTAAACATCAGTGGGACAAGCGAGTACTCTCTTCTGAAATATTCACCCTGAGGGAGGCTAACTGTTTCATTGGCACCAACAGAGACAGATGAAAAATTCCTCAAAGCATTTGTCATTTCTGAGTGCCCTCCGGTATCTCATTCTTAATCTATTCAAACCTGTGCATCTGTGTTATAAAATGATACTCATCTAACAGGATTGGGGGAGAAAAGGGAATCTTTATACCTGGGAAGCTCTTAGCGCCATACCTGGCACATGCAAAGTGCCTACATAAATAAATAAAAACAGTTGTAATGTTATGATACTTTATCAGACCAGAATTTTAATATTTAGGGATTAAATATTATAAAATCCACAAACAATAGTAAACATTTTATACAGTTTTAATCTAATAATTAGTGTATTTAAATACATTAATATCTTTGAAATATTGGGAGAACTAGCTATCAGTTTTTTCTCAGAGTAACTCAGTCTGTTTTGCCAACATGCTGCAGAAACCCTAAGCTAATGTAGACTAGCTTGACGGTTGTTACCTCCTGCATGTTGCTTTGGGTTCTTGGAAAAGGGGACAGAGTGGCAGGTTGAAACGTTATCCTGTTTCTTTTATGCATGGTGTGTTCTGTTTTGTAGGTAGTGTTTTCCCATGAGTGGGCAGGTGCCAGAAATAATTCTCTTGGAGCTTGAGAAGTCACTGAATGACTCCATCTTTGGGAAAGTGTACCCAATTTACAGTATTTCCAGAATGATGAAAGCTGGTTGGAATAAATTTCGGTCAGCAGTAGAGAGTCTGTGGAAGCAATGGGTGAGGAAGGTGTCCCATCAACCTAGAGGTAGAAAGGAAGAAAGGGCTGACTAGATGCTGATGTCAAATGCACTTGGACACTGTATTTTATTTTATGGATATTGCACCTTTGCTGCCCCTAAACCCAACAATGGAAGAATGTATATGGAAGGACCTTGAATAGTTAACCCAATTTCTAATCTTAGGCCTACCATTGATTATCTTGTAGAACATTCTGCCTTTGCCCTTCCATTGCATTCCAGACCTATCTTCCCCCAGCCAGGATTTCCCCACAAATTTGTCATGTATTTGCATGACATGAATTAAAAAGTCTCCCCAGAATACAGAAAACTGGTATGTCATTTACCTAAAGAGGCTTTGTCTTCCTCCAGTGTCCTCAAAACGCTTGGGGCTGCCACTGTGATAGAGACCTCTAGGGGGCGTACAAATTATACATGGAATGATTCCCTGGCCCCCAAAGCCTTCCAATAACAGCATTATTTCTGCTGTTAATCCCATGCCTCTCTGGATAAGAAACTGAAAGTGTGGCTTTTGGAAGAACCAACAGCCATGTGCTGGAAGAAATATGCCTCCTTTCATACCCAAACTTTCTCTAAAACAGAGTCAAAATTGGATACTATATAATAAATACCTAATTTCCCTCCTCTACTAATTCACTGACTCTTAATTGGGATGATCCCAAACATAATAAAATTGACCGTGGATCAGATGGTCAATTTTTAAGTGACAGGTGAGGAGCTATTCACAGGTAAGCAACATCCAGTCAGTTTTTTGGAAAAAGAACCCTATATAATAAAAGCCTAGGTGGTGTCATGCCCTTGAACAATGTTATCACAAGATGGCTGGCTGGGGAGGGCAGTTTTGGGTGATTAGGCCAGCAGGGGAGGGCAGTAGAGGGCAAACAGGCCTGCAGAGGAGGACAGTTGGGTGTGACCAGGTGGATAGGAGAGGGCAGTTGGGAGTGATCGGGCTGGCAGGTGAGCAGTTAGGGGCCAATCAGGCAGGCACATAGGCAAGCAGTTAGAAGCTAGCAGCCCCAGATTATGAGAAGGATGTCCGACTGCTGGTTTAGGCCCGATTCCACAGGAGTCCTAGATTCGAGAGGGTGTAGGCTGGCTGAGGGACACTTCCCACCCCGTGCATGGATTTCATGCACCAGGCCTCTAGTATATAGAATATAATACCCAACTTTAAATGATACCTACAGTATAGGAGGTGACAAGAATGAAATAGGAAGCCATGAACTTAGGCATTCATCCCCAAGGGTTCTGTGCTCTTAGATTTGTTTATGCCAAGGAGCCAGAATTTCTGAACCCAATTTTGTGCCCGAGTTTCATCTGGCTGCAGTCAGAGCTGGCATCATAATGATGTTTCATTAACTCTACATGATTTTCTCCACTTGAGAGGATCCAACTGGTACACCTGCACACAAATACTCATATTCCTGCCACATGCAACCAACTTAAAATATTCTGTGTTAGGAAGAGGGTCTTTTAATCTAAGGCATGAGTTCTGCTCTGGGAAACATGTGCACATCTGAAAAATAGTGCTCCTTATTCTCACACACCGGGGTTCTTAGGTCACTTCCGGTTTCAATGCTCATAGAAGACAAATCCCTGATTGGTCTGTTTTCCTGCTAGTGGGGCTTCCATGAGAGGTGTAAGATCATAATCTCCCCAGGCATTGCATCCTATGCAAATCTCACTGCAGGATTTTAGCCAGCACCATGACCAAATGGCTCATGGTTTTCTCCTGAACCCTGTTTCAGAGGTTGCCTGAGAAGGTTTCATACTTAGCTTTTCTGATGAAAGCATTAAAATTCACCCATTGCAGCAAAATCAGTCAAATCAATTCATGCTTCTTTTCAAAAAAAAAAAAAATTACACCTTGTTTACAAATGAAATAGCTTTACTTAAGTGGGACTCTAGCCAAGGCAGCTAATTAGTAAAAAGATCCACACGGCCACCATACAGTTGCACACTGTTTACTCTATTTGACATTTCTACAGCTGATGTGTATTTAATATTCTGCATCCTCCTCAGGAAATGACAAATGCTCTGAATTCTTTGCAAATAGAATTGCTAATGAAAAAGAAAAAAAAAAGTTGGTGTTAATTAAATGGTGATTAAAAATTTATCTCCTTTAAACCTAAAAAGTGCAGCTGTAATAATCAGTTGTCATATAAATAAATACCTTACACTGAAATCCCTTGCAGTTTGAGACCTAAATAAATACTAATTGGAGAAACCTAAATGTCTTTTAGAAGAGCTGAATGTATTTGTTAACTGGATGCACATCCCGTGCTGTTTCTTTGTGCATTGCTGTCGTACATGAGGCCTTGGAAGGGGGGCATGAGCTGTCTCTGCGAGAGAGCCTGTGTGTATTACCCATGGCTATAGCAGACATAATTGGACTTCTAGGTAAAAACACAAGACAAAACTGAGTAGGTGGAAACTAACCTCATTGGTTGATATTTACTATGAGTTAGGGGTTCTCTATAAAGACAATTTCCACTCCAAAAGCAATCTTTATATTCATGTTAGACAAAATGAGACATTTCGGGATACCCTCATCTTCTTTTGGTGAACAGGGTTAAAAGTGCTTAATGAGAGGTTAAGTGAGGTTTATACTTGAAAAGTTTTTCCAATACGCAGTTGCCCTGTACCCATTTTCTCCCTTTTCATTGTACTGTGTTCATACCTAATTGTACCAGATGAGGCCAGCTTGCCACTTGATGGAGATCAGAGATGATCAAATGCACTTATCTTGTGAATACAAATGCTTGTGTACACATGTATATACTATACATGCTTGATTTCTATAATTCACACTTAAGTGTATTATCCAAATAAAATTGTACATACTGTAAAGTTTATGTTAACAATTCAATGGTGATGATGGTATTAACACATGGAAAACCCATTCTGATTATTGATGGGATCATGTTTATATAGAGAGGGGA